TATATATATATATATATATATATATATATATATATATATATATATATATAATGTTGAATCGCTTGCTAATATATTCATGTTGTGCTTCAACCGCAAGGCCAAAACCGCAGTCGCAACATCATTTGCGGTTAATTGTAATTAAAGCTCAGTGGGTTGCTTTGGTGCGAATATGCATATGCATCCACCTACGACAATCTACAACCACAGCGCCCCTTTCATTCATTATATGCTTCGCAGCAGTCGTTGTGGAATGTGTCACGTGTTGAGCACACAATTCAATACACTTTATATCGTCAATTAAAAATTCTCTCCATCTCTCTCACTCTCGCGCCTTCTCTTTCTTTGCCCGCTCTAACTAAATTAGTCGCTGCACTAGCCTTACAATGGCCGATGCGAGGAATAAAAGGCTGCACAGCAGGAGGACGAGCACCAGGCCTAATTCCAATTCAAATTCAGACTTCAGCTCAAATCCCAACAGTGATCACTTCAATCGACCGCAGGCAACCGACTTTACGACCAAACAGCATCTGAGGCTGCGGGCTGGCGATCTACGCCTCGCTCGCATTCAGGTCAGCCTCTCCAAACTGCAGCACGAAATGGAGCAGTCCAGCAAGCAAATCGCTGCGCTCTGCCAAGATGCGAAAATGGATAAGAACTTGGACAAGGTCCTGCTTCAGTAAATGTTGAAATGTAGAAAGATATCAAAATTATGTATACGATGAAAATTATAAACACAAGTTATGTAAAGACGATACGCGATATATGATTTATTAATTTGAAAGCTTTCAGTCGAAATGTGAATACAGTAATCGGTTGATAACAGATAAATGGTTCTGATTTGCTGATTGATGACGGATGGATGCTTAAGGCTGCGCTCTAGATTAGAGAAGCAACAATCCAGTAAGAGTTCCGAGTATTCCGAGCCCTGCAAAGAGGTGTTATTCCATTTTATTTCTTTGCATTTTACACTTCTTCCATTCATCAATGGCATGAGAGACGTCTAAGGAGGCAAAAGACTCGTTTTAAGGTTTTTAGATATTATTATAGCGACGGTCCATTGAGCATCGTTATAATCAGATTCTACTGTATATGCGATCATTTTAATAATCTATATAATGAGAAAATTATTATAAAATCTTTTACCTATTGACCTAATTTTCACTTCGTTATTCAGTTTTGTTTCTCAATAGCTTTTATTTCGATCATTGCAGTTGCTCAAAATCAAAGCTAGAGAGTCCTGGGAAGACGGCGCTATGCTCAAAGGCAATCAGCTCGAATAGAGCCTGTGTGAGGGACTGAGGCAAGTGGAGCAGAGTGACGCAGTTGAGACAGAGGTGAGTGTTGCACTCATATGTTAATAAATTGACGCGCTTTGCATGAGAGGAGGGCGTTGGCTTGATTTAAATTAAAAATATATTGCATACTTTTTTGCGCGCAGCCATTGCAATGGCTGCAAAATAAATACAAGAAAACACTCATACACACACACGCACCCACACCTGCACACACTCTATATATAAATTAAATTGTTGTGCACCCCGACGGCAATCAGACAGTCAGCCAGGTAGGTGGGCACAAGCATGGCATGCTATGAACTCCAATTTAAAAACCTGAAAGTACGGGTTAAGGACTCGGAGGCTCGCAGCTGCTGGGGCCGGGCTGCAAGGGGGCGAGGGACAGCACTCGGAGTGTAGAGTGTGCCGTGTGGAAAGTGGAGTGTGGGTCGTTTGGTACTTCAGCAAACCGTTTTTGATTACGCGTGTGTTTTTCGCGTGCAACTAAATTAGCGCACGTGTAATCAAGTTTTTCAGCTTTCCATAACAGCGTTACAGAAAAAATGAAGGAAACAAGCAAGAGTTGGGGGTGCTCGACTAGCAGATACCATTATAATATGAGGTGCAATGAGAACGAGCTTTAAAGATGTAACAGTACTTTTCCATGTCAAAGGACCTGCATCTGAAATATAGCATTTTTTGTTAACCGATGCATTGAGAAACGTGAGAAAATGGTGTATTCCAGGTCTTCACTTATTTTCAAACAGGTTAGATGGTTTCAGTCTACGCACATATTCACACATTTGCTTATATGCTGAAATACATCAAATCTGAGTATTTCATTCACCTTCGTGAGTATTTTTCCCCTTCGTCACTATTCGCATTGAGTTGTCGCCATCGCCTCTTCAAATTATTACAATTCTTTTAATGACCTATTGGTATTTGAATATATTCTGTTTATAGACTACATAAAAATTTATAGAATAGTCAAGTTGGTTCTTGTCCATTTTCAATAAAATTGAAAATGTGGAGCAAGAATATATATACTTCATTTGGTCAGCTGCCCCGAATCCACAATGTCAAGGGGTCAGTGTACAATGAATTGATACAGACAAAGTAAAATCAATTCTTGATTTGGTTAATATTATAATATCAATGCTGTATATAAATGAATAAGTTTCCTGAATTATCGCAAAATCAAGATACCCATGTTACACATTTTCAGTATGGCTCAAGCTTATTAAGTGTTAACAACGATGCTCGCCTGCCCTGCCATGAGCGAATCCTGTAGTAAACCTTTCGCCAAATGTCAACATCGAATAGGGACAACGGGAGATACACGCGATAATAACATAAATCACACCACGAAGAAAAGAGGGTCTATAGAATAGAGATATTCATGGTGGCAGGTAAAAGAAAATCATGCTGAACATACCATAAATTTAAACGCTATGCACCACTTGTACGTGTTAAATCGAAACCTAGTCACGTTTCGCCGTGGCAACCTCTTGTTGCATTGGTATTCAACGAAATAATGAATTTTCATTATACTATAGGGCTGAAAATCGAATTGGCTATACTAATGCACATGTTTAGCGAAATTTTTGGTGTGAACTGAATATTGTCTGTATCACTCCCAGGTCTATCTGTCATTTAATTAACTTTCCAAGCTCAGTGTTGGCTGTGAAATAACTGTGAAATGCCTTTACAGCACGTGTAGCATCATCATAGAGACCGTTTATCCGCTGGATTATTTTTCTATCTGTATGTCCTCATGATTGATTCATGAAATCGATAAGATTTCACAATTTTTATAGCAGGAGTCAGTAATTTGTATATCAATTTTCAGTGAGAAGTCAGAATGTAAGGATTTTGTTAAAATTATGCAACAGGCAAAAGGAGGCGTGGCAGGCCGCACAAAGTATATACTATCTATGCAAGCGTCGATCTCAAAAATTATAAGAGTGAGACTCGATTTTTTATTTTTCTCAAAAAATCGTTAACTTATCCGGTTATTTTTTTTTTGTATCGATTGTATCCTCGAAGTGCTCAGGAATCTCGTAGTCGAGCAATCTTGATTTGAGTTTTCTTAATTGATTATGTAGAGTTCCATAGGCATTCTAATGCCAGATTCGAGCAAAAACATCGTTTCTTAATGAATGAACATATCAATATGTATATCATTAGAACGTGCCCAGTAATTTAGAATAAATATCCTTTTTTTGTTTTTTTAGGTATTTAGAAACATTTCGAGGGATCTGCTCTTTTATTTACACAATTCACTACTACAGATAAAAGCTGCATCGGTTTACTAATATTTCCTTTTAAATTGAGAGCCTAAGTAAGACTACATTGATTGTGGATAATTTTCAGCCTATGCCCAATTCACTAAATGAAAATATTATGTTTATTTGCGCATCATACAATTCTTCACAGTTAATATACCCTCTTGTATGGTTAGAGATCCTGATGACGGACTCTGATTCTATATACAATAATAAAGATTCCCAAGAACGGGCTGATGTGATAGTGAATGGCAGGATCAGTTGAGCATCCGGAACTTCAGAATCCAGTAAAACATGCATTTGAAATGTATTTTTAATAACAACTTCATATTTTCATACTTTTATTGTTAAGTGCTTTTAATTAATATTCAACTCTGCCACGTATCAAAATGTGAAATGCTTTTTATACCCTGAACCCATTGAAAATGGGAAATCAGGGTATAATGGTTTTG